GGAACAGACTGTCTAGATTCAATGCCAAGCATTTCCTAGCTGTGTAACTTTGGGCAAGTTACTTAACTTCTGTGAGCCTCGGTCTCCTCATCTGTAAGATGGGAATAGTCCGCAACATAGAGGGTTGTTGTGAGGATTGAACGATGAATTATGTAGAGTCTTAGCCTAGTGCCTAGCACAGAGTAAGTGCTAAATAAACGTTAGTTACTATAATTGTATTATTACTAACAATATAAAGAATGTGGTTGCAAACAGGACACAATGAACCTGGAGGAACAGCCTCCATTGTAACAATCCCCACACACCCCGGGGTTGAGCAGAGGCCGAGAGTCCAGCTTGCCCATGGCTCAGGCAAAGGCCCAGCGGCCCCTCAGAAACAGTAGGTATGAGCTTCAAAGCCACCCAGAGTGTTGTCCAGCACAACCCTGAGGGAACCCCTCCCCAGACCTCTACCCAGAGGCTGGAGCTGTTGTTCCCAACGTTGGGTGAGATCCTCTCTTGGCCCAAGCACTTAGTGTGTGACCCCTGCCTCCCTTCTTCCTCAGGCAACTTCCACCTGGGTGCCATCCCCTCCGTGTGAGAGCGAGCACTGGCTCAGGAGACCTCGGTTCTAAACTTGGCATTATCATCATCAAGCAGCTGTGTGACTTGGAGCCACTCACTCACCCTCTCTGGGCCTCTGTTCTACCTCATTTAGATGATCTTGAAATCCCCTCCCAGCTTTAGCATATGGTTTTAGCAAAGTGTGTGGCACACAGTAGGTGTTCAATAAGTGTTATTTTATGAAATCCAAGACACAACTCTGCTAGGTTTCAACACCCACATACTTTTTTAGTCTTTAGAACTAAACGATGTGCGATCCAACACCTGATGGCCCAACCCAAGGTAAGAGCTCAAGAAATGACTCAGTGCCTTAAGAGGCTAACACAGAAGGATAAAGTAAGTCTCCATAAAACCCAGAGAAGAGATGGTAAAACTCCTCTTTGGATCCTGTCTGGAGTCACAGCTGAAAAAAGAAAAGAGAAGAAAAGCAGGAATTTGAAGGCAATCTAATCTTTACAAATAGGGGAAAATGAAAAGATAAAAGCAGTCTCTGGCACTTTTCCTACTCTTTTTTTCTCACCGTCTCCCTAACGGTATCAGAAATTACTCTCCAGGAAATCTCTCCCACAGTAAACCCTGTTGTTCAATAAGTGTTATTTTATGAAATCCAAGACACAACTCTGCTAGGTTTCAACACCCACATACTTTTTTAGTCTTTAGAACTAAACGTTGTGCGATCCAACACCTGACAGCCCAACCCAAGGTAAGAGCTCAAGAAATGGGTATCTATTGAGTTAATTCACTACTAACGTTTGACCTGGCTTTCCGTCTAACCTGTTCCCCCACCTAAGACCGCAGTGCCCCATATAAGCTGCAGATTAGAGGGTCTGGAATGCGGCCTCCCCACTAGACCACAGGCTTAAGATGACAGGGTCCGTCCTGCAGCGTCAGGCCACATTCAGCCCACCTGCTCGGCGTGAGGTGCGTGGGCAGCCTCCCCTCCCCTCCTGCGATCCTGGGGCAGAGAACTGTCCTCCCTCACAACAAGGAGAAGCAGCACAGAGCCTCAAGCTCAGCAAGTCCTTTTATTGGAAAAAGAAATAAAAACAAAAGGCCGCCGCATCACCTGTGCCCAGCCAGCCCACTGGAGAGGCACAGGTGAGACACAAGGCCCAGTCACACAGGGCCAGGGTGGGCTCAGGCCGGGGTCAGGGTCCGGGGGCTGTGGAGGAGCCCACTGGACTGCAGCTCTCTCGGGCGACTCTTGGATCAGAACCCACTTGGGCTCGGGAGCTGGGACACGCTCTCTGGGTGGGCATCTCCTTCCCACATGCTGCTCCTGTGTCCGAAGACAATCAGGCCCCTCTCCGGGCTCAGAAAGCTGCCTGCGGTGGCTGGTCTCTCCATCTCCTCCTAGCACCTCCTGCCACTGAGGCAGGCAGCCTCCGATGTGCACCTTCAGGGCACCCGGACGGGGCAGCTCCTTCCCACGGACACCCCGAGCCTTGGCAGCAGGGATGTACGGGCTGGACGGGGCAGCTCCTTCCCACAGACACCCCGAGCCTGGGCAGCAGGGACGTATGGGCTGGACGGGGCAGCTCCTTCCCACGGACACCCCGAGCCTGGGCAGCAGGGATGTAGGACACCCCGAGCCTTGGCAGCAGGGATGTACGGGCTGGACGGGGCAGCTCCTTCCCACAGACACCCTGAGCCTGGGCAGCAGGGACGTATGGGCTGGACGGGGCAGCTCCTTCCCACGGACACCCCGAGCCTGGGCAGCAGGGATGTACGGGCTGGATATTCCTCTTTCCTTTCAAGAAGGAGGTTTGCCTTTTTCCCTGCGGGTTGCCGGCTTCCTTGAATGTCCGAGAAGCCTCACTTAGTCTTAGAGAATCCCGAAGCGGGGGCGGGCTGAGTATGAGCGTCTGTGGCCCTGCTGCCTTGTCATGGGGGCTGGGACAGGGGCACGGAAGGCCCCAGGTGGGCTTTGCTCTCCTAGAACCCCAACTTCTCTTCTGCTAGAAGGTACACAGTAGAGTCAGAAGGTGAGGAGACCTTTCAGGTAGGGAAAAGGCCTGGAAGAAGAGCCAAGCTAGCAGCCACGGGGCAGGGGCAGGGGCAGGAGCTTGAGGACATGTATTCACAGGGGGCAGGTTGGGCCCACGCAGGGAAGCAGCCACAGACCGTCGCGCTGGAAGGTCAGACAGGATGCAGAGAGGGGCGGTCATCGGCCTGGCAGCCAGGGGGAACGTACAGTGCACTCACACACACGTGCACTCACATGCAGTCACACACCTACACACACGTGCACCCACGCACATAGTGCACTCACATTCATCCTACATGCGCCCCCACTCATGCTCACATACATGCGGGCTCTAACCTCAGGAAGTTGGCTTCGGTTCTGGAGGGTCGAGCCCCCAAGGCTGCATCTCTCCATGGAGCCTTTCTCCAGACCCCACATCACCCCCCAGAGCCCGAGGCTGTGTCCCAGGCCCGACACCTGGTTGCCTACAGAGTCTCGGGAGTTGGGTGCTTCTTGGCAAGGCCATGGTGGCCTCAGGCTTTGGGTGGACGGCAGGGAGCCACAGGTCTGAAGGAGTTCAGGAGGGGACTGAACAGCTAGCTCTCCACCACGGCGGGGCGCCCACGGTCTGACCACTCCCATCTCCCCAGACCTCAAGTTAGGTGGAGGCAGGATCGCAGACAGGCAGAGGCCTGGGGTGGCATCAGGAAGCACAGACACGGGGAGTCAGCCATGGGGAGCAGGGCCCAAGGGGAGTGTGTCCTGGGGACGGGGTGAGGAATCATGCAGGATGGGAGTTCTCTACGTAACACACCTGGGCCCTCTCAGGGTGTTGAGAGAGCTGCTGCAGAAGAAATGGGTTGTTCAGATTGTGTTGTCCCCACCCCAGCCTCCGTGTGACCCAGACCAGCCTTATGGGGAGGAGCCAGGTCAGGAAGGGGACCATCCTTCCCCCGGGGGCCATGGCAGGGTGCGCGGCTGATGGCCTGCAGCAAACACTGGCCAGTCACCCTCCCGCCCACCCTGGGGAGCAGGTGAGCCCACAGAATGACTCAGAAGCGGGTACTCTGGTAGCGCAGCCGCCGCAGGTCTGCAAGGCCTTCAGTCCGGCCATACACCTCCCGGCAGGGAGTCTCGGCCAGTCACCGGGACCCCGCCCCACCGCCCCCACCACTGCTGCTGCCACTGGCACTGCTGCTGCTGCCACTGCTGGAGCTGCCACTGCTGCACCGGTCCTCGTAGATGGAGACCTCGATCTGGGGCAGCGTTAAGGAGGGCTGCCAGCTGCCCGCAGGGAGACAGGGACCTTTATGGAGGCCAGCTGGGGAGCAGGAGGCATGGCTGGTCCTGCTTCCTAGACAGTAAGAACCTGAGGCCTGGGGAGCTAGACCCCAAGCCCCACTGCACACTCAGCTCCGTTATGGAGACGTGCAGGGCCAGGCATTGTGAGGGTGCACAGAAGGATTAGACACTTTCTAGTGTCTAATTACTGAATCCCAGGACAGCCCGTGCTGGAGATGTGGTGTTATTATACAGGATGTGCGAGGTCTTTGGTGTCCTGAGTTCAAATTCCACCTCTCTCACTCTAAACCAGTCACTTATTGCCTGTCCGTTTGCATGTCTGTAAAATGGGTATAATAATAGAATCTTGGGATTGTTGTGAGGCTTAAATGAAGTAAAATGCACCGGTGCTGGGCACATAGTACAGGCTCAGTCATAACAAGCGCCTCTCGCTGGGCTTTGTAAACGTGAGGCTCTGGTATTTGCATTTTCTTTACTCTTTCAATTTTCTATTAAAATTTATTTTTTAACTTTTCTCTTCTTGCTGCTGCTGACCAGGGAGGGAAGTGTGCACACTTGACCAGGTGGAGTGAGCAGACCTATAACCCACCCCTCGGCCAGCCACCACCAAGGCCTCGTTTTTCTCATCTGTGAAAGGGGGACAACAGGACCTCCCATGTGGGATTAAGGAGGTTTATATGATACTAGTGACCCTGTGCACGGATTTGTGCACATTGAAAGGAAATTAATTAGAAGGTGGCTGGTGGGGCAGGACTGGGTGAGACATGCCGGACACGCCCTGGAGCCAACCTTCCGTGGTCCCTTCCCAGGGTTTGCAAAGTGAGCGCGGTCCCTCCGGCAGGTGGGGTCCCTCCGGCAGGTGGGGTCCCTCAGCCTGGCCTGCGGGGATCAGGCCAAAACCGGCTCTCCACATCCCCCGAGGGGTCCTGGAGTGCGAGAGGGCACTCTGCAAAGTTGTTATTGTAAAGGGTGTGAAACTCAAACGCAAGTGTGCAGTAAACCAGATTCGGGACCGACAGTGCCCCAGCAACAACACACCCCATGGCCAAAGGTGGACAGCATGTGCTGGGCCCTGTGAGGAATCAGGCTCCCTCCTCTCTGGTTTCGGGGTGCGTCACCCTGAGAACCGCCACTGCCAAGTCACTGCAGCTCGTCAGCTCCTGAGTTGAGCGTCTGCCCCCTGATGGTCAGTGTGCATCATAGCGACCAGTCAGGCGGAGGGACACTTAGCATATTAGCCTTTCATATAGATAGATTGTAAACATGTAAATGTAGTTGGAGATTTGCATATTCCCTGAGGGGCAGTACAGCCTTGCAGTTAAGAGTGGGCCTGGGCTCAAAGCCATGAGTCAGTGACTTAACTTCAGTGTGCTCACCGATAAAGGGACATAAGTTACCCACATTATAGGGGTGTTGTGGGTGTTGTGGACCCATAGTTTCAAAGCACTGAATATGCTATCTGGCATGTACTAAGCACTGAGTAAATGCAGCTCAATAAATAAAAGCAAACCCTGACATTCACAAACAGCACCAATAACTTATGGTGAAGGGAGAGGGTTGGTGACCAGACATGTGGGGCACCCTAAAAACCCTAGGGTGGTCCCATTTCCTGGCAGCCTCACCACAGACCCCACTGGTTGGCAGCTCTGTGCCCCCCGCCACACACACACACACACACACACACACACACAAACACAGAACAGACGGAAGGATACAACCCTCATCCCACGCTCAACAGGGTCCGTGAGCAGGAGGCCTCGAGGGGCAAAGATCTTCTCATTCTGCTCTTGGATGTAGCGTGTGATCTTCTTGAGAACCTGCAAGGAGAGGGGCCGATTGAGGATGAGGTGCGGCAGGGAGCCCTGGGAAGGGGTGCAGGGTGGCCAGGGAGGGAGCACCTTCTCGTAGTGGGTCTCCATGCAGAGGAAGATGAAGTAGGCCGTGGCGCAGGCCAGGCAGCCCTCCAGGTAGGAGCTGCCCCCAATCTTCTCCGCTTCTGCGTAGAAGCCGTTGAGGGTCTTCACAGTCTCCTCAAAGAGCTGCCGCTCAATCTAGAGGGAGAGAGGGTCAGAGAGAGAGGCTCAGAGATCCAGGCCAAGGTCAGCCTCCCTGGGGTGTGAACAGTCACCAGCTGAGGTGTGGGGAGTAGTAGGACCACACCAGGGGTGGGGGCAGCACACAGGCAAGACCAAGAGGCTGCAGGCGCCGGTAGAGCAGAAAGAGCACTGGACTGGAAGTCAGGAGAGCTGGGGTTCAGACCTGGCCATCAACTAGCTATGTGACCTTGGACCAATGATCTAACTACTCTAGCCTCAGTTTCCACATCTATAAAATGGGAATGAAAATGCTACTTGGGCCCTAGCTGATTTGGTTCAATGGCTAGAGTGTCGGTCTGCGGACCGCTGCGGACTGAAGGGTCCCAGGTTCGATTCCAGTTAAGGGCACATGCCCGGGATACGGACTTGATCCTCATTGATGTTTCTATCTCTCTCTCCCTCTCCCTTCCTCTCTGATCCCTTCCTCGAAATCAATATAAATAAATAAATAAATAAATAAATAAATAAATAAATAAACATTTAAAACAAATAAATAAATAAAGATTTTTTTTTTTAATCCTACTTGGCTTCCCTTGGAAACAGGAAACTCTTACAATATCCTAGATGTGAATGCATTAGACAAGAATCCCAGTGACTGTGCCACCCCCACCCGTTTTGATGGCTGAGAGCTCAAGACCTAATTGGTAGGGGCTCCCCATGTTTCGAAGGGACTTCAACGTCATGAGAGTCATTGGGTGAGACCTCAGAAGTGTCTTTCCAGGAAGGGGCACTTCCATCTAGACAAGAGTTCATGCAGAACACGACAGTCCTGTGTGTTCAGACCACTGGGAAGCTGTCCCACCTGCATCCGTAATCATCACAGCTAATATTTACTCGGCACTGCCTCCGTGCCAGGCTTTTTTAAATGTATTCTTTCCTGTGACCCTCATCCTTCCCTCAGAGAAGCAGGACTATCATCCGCTTCCACAAGGGAGGACTGATGGGAGCTCCAGCCTCCTAACTGGTTTCCTTGCCCCCAGCCCAGCCAGTGCAGCTCTGATCAAGAGCTCCCCAAGCCTTCATCTATTTCCAGGCAGGACCCAGGAGGTCCTGCAGTGCCTGGCCCTGGGTCCCGCTGAGCCATCTCCTACTCTGCTCCTCACTCCGGCCCCACGCCAGCCACACTGACCACCATGCTGCCGTGTCCTGAACACTCTGCTGCAAACTCTCCCGCCAGATACCCCACTGTCCCCTGCCCCCCGCTCCCTTACTTCCCTCAGGTCTCACCTTGTCCAACAGGCCACCCCCGACGATGCCCTATCTCTAGCTCTCTCTATCCATCTTGCCCCCCCCTTATTTTTCTAGTATTTGTGATCACCTGAGCTACTATATATTTACTTGTGTGTTTGTTTTTATTTTTGTACCCTCTGGTAGAAAATAAACTCCATCCGTTTGCTCCTACATCCCCAGTGCCTGTTGCATAGTAGATGCTCCATAAATACTTGCTGAGTGCTGAGTGGACCTGTCCAAGGTTACACAGCTCTGACCCGAGTCTGGCTCTTCCCTGGGCCACCTTACACTGGACACCTGGGTTGGAAGGTCATGCTCCAAACCCAGCAGGTGTCCAAGTGTCTGTCACCCCGTTTTTATACTCTACAGAGCACCCTGTTCCCCACTCACCCCCACAAGGCTAGAACTGCCCATCACACAGGTTAGGAACCTCCCACAAATAGAAGCTTTGGGGTTCCCAGCCACTGTCCCTACACAGACCTGGAGTGAACACAGATAAAATTCTGTCCATCTGGCCCCTGACCTAAGCCCTACTGCTCTACCCCAGGGTCACCCCACCCCAAAGAACAGGCATGCTAAGATAAGGAGACCCACATGGCTCCCCAAAAGCTGGTTAGGGGGTCAGATCAGCAAAAGCCAGGCCGGTCTCACCTTCTCAAACCCACTTAGAGCTGCCTGGCTGCTGGATGAAAGGGTCAGGGTCTGCCCTCTGACCTCCCCCAAACCCAGGTCAGTTCTAAGCAGCCTGGGACGGAGGCTACACACACCCCCAGAACCAGGAGCAAAACTCCGCCGAAAGAGCTGATGCCTTGCAGGGAGCTGAGTCTGCAGGGAGGGCTGTGGGGAACAGCCCGGGTTTGGGATCTTTGAGGGCTCCCAGAAAATACTAATGTGGGTGAGAAATGCTGCTAAAAAGTGGAGGTTCCTGAACCCAGGCCGGAAACGGAGCCGGCCTCTCTGATGACACCTAATGCCATCCACCAGGACTTAGAAATTTACATTTAACAAGCTCTCCCGGTGGTTCTCGTGCTACTGAAACTTGAGAGCTGCTGGACTAGAAACTGAGGTTTCTTCCGTGCTGACTTTCAAGGAGGCGACAGCGAGACCATGTTAAGAACGTCTTTTGTTTGTAATTCTTCCACGTGAAGTGGCGGAATAAGTATGTGCCATATACTACTTTTATCCTGGGGGGGAAATACACTTGAATAAGCCCCTCAGTTCCATCCTGGCCTGTGTTCCCAGCTTAGAAATGGACGTCCTTACCCGGCCGTCCAGCTCTGGGGGGAACTTGGTCTGGAACTGACAGATGGTGCCGTCGCTGTAGTCTCTCTGGATGAAGATCTTGGTGGCCAGGGACGCACTCCGCCGCAGCTCCTGCAGGTTGTGCACCTGGGCAGACGCAGAGAAGACGCGAGCAGGGTGACCATCCTTCCCGGTCTGTCCGAGACTGAGGGGGTTTGGGGATGGGGTCTTTCAGCACTAAATTCAGGGACCTTTCTGGGAAACTGGGACAAGTTGGCCCCTACATGTGCTCCAGGAAGGTCACGGGGAAGCAGGACGGTAGAAACAGCGAGACCATGTTAAGAACGTCTTTTGTTTGTAATTCTTCCACGTGAAGTGGCGGAATAAGTATGTGCCATATACTACTTTTATCCTGGGGGGGAAATACACTTGAATAAGCCCCTCAGTTCCATCCTGGCCTGTGTTCCCAGCTTAGAAATGGACGTCCTTACCCGGCCGTCCAGCTCTGGGGGGAACTTGGTCTGGAACTGACAGATGGTGCCGTCGCTGTAGTCTCTCTGGATGAAGATCTTGGTGGCCAGGGACGCACTCCGCCGCAGCTCCTGCAGGTTGTGCACCTGGGCAGACGCAGAGAAGACGCGAGCAGGGTGACCATCCTTCCCGGTCTGTCCGAGACTGAGGGGGTTTGGGGATGGGGTCTTTCAGCACTAAATTCAGGGACCTTTCTGGGAAACTGGGACAAGTTGGCCCCTACATGTGCTCCAGGAAGGTCACGGGGAAGCAGGACGGTAGAGTTCGCCCCAGGAGATGCCCTGAGCAATCCCAGGAATATCTAGAAAAAGCCTGAAGCAGAGCCAACACTGAGCCAAAATGAGAGGTTCTGGAACCATCAACAGAGCCAGAAACAAATTTTAACGAGAGGAAAAGACTTCCTGGTGGCTGGCCCAAACCCCTCTTCCCTCCCCCCCCCCCCCCCCCCCCCCCACCCCAACCCCCCCACCCCCACACACAA